AAAAAAAAAAAAGTATACTTTCTGATCTAGAAGACACACAGTGGACTATTGTGAAGAGTCACCATAGCAGGCTTCTCAAGGTATCTGTGACCTTACGTGTGGGCCACGTCTCTTGAGAACCTGTGACACATTCTACATAGGGGATCCCGGGAATTATCTCCCACTGTCCTGCGATCTTGTGATTGACAGGTTCCACTCATTTCCCTGGTCAATTTTTCTGCACTTCGTCGCCTCTTATCAGTTACAGTACCACAGGCCTCCCATACCGATGTCGGAATATAACAAGCTCTATGCTGTGAGGACAACAGGGTGGGGGCAAGTAGGCCGAGAAGGTGACCTGGGGTCAGGTTCAGAGGTGAAGAAAATGGGTAGAAGAGAACTGAAGGAGGCACCACTGATAAAGTCTCCCACCTAGTGCCTCTTCCCTTAGCTAGCGCCTCGGGTGGAGCCTGAGCTGCAGAGGCCAGGTCAAGGCTGCCTGGGGTGCCAGCAAAGGGACTGACTTGCCTTGGTCTATTTGTGTTTTTATAACAGATTACTTGACACTAGGTAATTTGTAAGAAACAGACTTTCTATTTTGGCTTTTCTTTCTTTATTTATTTTGAGACAAAGTCTCACTATGTAGCTCAGGCTAGCCTTGAACTCACACTGTGGCTCAGGTAGGCCTCCAACACTGCTCTGTGATCCTCTTGCTTCAGCCTCCCAAATGTTGAGATTACAAGTGTAAACCACCGTGCCAAGCTCAGGAATTTCTTTCTTAATGTTCTAGGGGAACATTAAGAGAAATCCAAAGTAAGGAGCCAGCAAGTATCTTCATGAGTGGCTGTGTTGCTCTCACGTGACGGAAAGGGCAGAGGGCTCCAGATAGGTTCTGCAGCCCTTTTGTAGGGTGGCTAATCCTATGCCTAGGGTTTCACACTCATGACTCAGCACTTCTTAGACTCCTTCTCTTGGTACTACCACTTTGGTGACTTAAATTTCAACACAGGAGTTTGGAGAACACATTCAGAGACAATTCAGTTTACAGACAGAGGGAGAGTTTGGTGGAGCATAAAGAGACAGTGTGTTAGTTGATACATTGTGTCAACTTGGCTGAATCAGCTCCAGCAGTTCTCAGCATGGGAGCCTAGCCTTGCACATGGGCAGGGCCCAGGACTTGAGAATGGTTTCCTGCCACCCTGCCCAATTCCCTGCCACCCTGCTGCGCTTCCGCTTCCATGAATAAGTCCCAGTCTTTGGAGGAGCTTGATCTTCGCAGCAGCACCACTTTGGAGGAGCTCCGATCTTCACTGTGGAGCACTGGTCTTCTGTTTTCACAGCATAGAGGGAACCGAGAGGTTTGATTGTTGCAGCAGCTGCTGCTCCTCCTCTGCTCTTCATTGTTTTCTGCTGCATGAACTGCAGTCATTTGCCTTGCAGCCAGCAGAATATGGACTGAACCCTCCAGTAACTGTGAGCTAAATAAACTTTTCCTTCCTCCATTTTGAGTGTTGGGTATTTGTCCCAGCAACAAGTAAAAAGTAACTAAGACAGAATTTGGTACCAGGAGTGGGGTCGTTGCTGTGGCTGTAACTGACAATATAGATTACAAACTTTTGGGACTGGCTTATAAAAAAAGATAAAAAAGGCTCAGCGATGTTGCCTACAAGCGATGCCTGAAACAGCTTTGGCTGTTCTGTTTGGGAGCTTCTGGTCAAAGCTCAGACCAGATTGCTGATAGGAAACCTGACTATAAGGACCAGGATGGGGAGGTTTCTGCTGAGAAAAAGGACAGCATTTGTTGTTGGACTGAAGATGATTTGTGTTATGGATTGGCAGAAAGTTTGTCTGCATTTTGTTCCTGTCCAGAGACTTTGCCTGAGACTGAGATTAAGCACAGTGGACTAGTTAATCTTAAAAAAAAAATTCAAAGCAGCCAAATATTAGGGCAGTGGTGTGGTTGGTTTTGGGAGCTTTTAGCCAGATTTATGTTAAAAATAAAGAACAAAAAGCCCAAAAGGATGATTTTTTTAAAAAAATGTTTCCTTATTTATTTTTTTCTTTTTTTTTATGGTCAGCTCAGCCCACCCTGGGGGTGGGGCTGGCATGGCATGTGGTGCTGGGGATTGAACCGAGGTCCCTGCATGCTTGCCTAAGCAGGCGCTTTAGACCACTGAGCTATCTCGCCAGCCCAAAAGGATGATTTAAAATGTGAATTTGGCCAAAAAAGAAGTGCCAGGAAGGCTGTGGACTATAAAGACAAAGCTGAGAGGATCTCTATTGCTGAGAAGGAACAGGAGAGTAAAACAGATGTCCTGAGGACATCACAGGAGGCAGCAGGTTCTTGCCCTTTGCAGCCTCAGAATCACAAGGGTGAGGAGCTTTGCTTTGAGGAGAAAGCTACAGAGCCCCATGTTCCAGAATGGAGGTGGCAGCCACACCAGGTTCCAGAATGGAGGTGGCAGCCACACCAGATTACAGAATGGTGCCAACATAAAAAATTTGTTTCTCAAAATCAGAGTCAGAGCCCTCAGAAATCCAGGCACTCAACCCCTACAGTCAAAAGAACAAAAAAAACCCCCTGATTACTGCTCCACCTTGCAGCAGCCCTTGGCATCATCCACTTGGCTTTGGTTGTAGACGCATGCAGAATGCAAGCGTTCTGAGGTTCAGAAGGCTTCCACCCAGATTTCAGAAGAAGGCCTGGGAGGCCAGGCAGTGTGCCCCTGAGAAGGCAGTGTGTGAACCTGTGAATAAAAAGTCTATTCAGTGGAAACCTCAGAAGTTTAAACAACCCAGGAATGTGAATGGTCTAAGAAAAGCTGCAAAAAGTGAGCAAAGCAGGCCTGAAAAAAAAGCCATAGGAGCTACCAGCAGAAGTGCCATAGGGGCAGAGCCACGTAAGGCTTTTGGAGCTCACAGCTCATTACAGGGTACTCTGAATGGTCCACAGGGAACTACAGGACTTAACATTTGCCCTTCTGGACTTTGAACTTGTTTTGGTCCCAATTGTTTGTATCCAGCTGTGTATCCCTTTTGGAATGGCAATGCTTATCTTGTGCCTGTGAATGTTAGAAGTGTTTAACTTCTCAGTTGTAGAGGGGCTCACAGCTAAGAGTTTGCCTAAGATCTTGGAAGCTTGGGACTTGGACTTTTCAGTGTTGCTGAAACTGTTAGGACTTTGGCAACTCTTAGAGATGGAATATAATATCTTTTATATAAACAGATGTGCACGAGTCTTTGGAGGGCCAGGGACAACATGTCATGATTCTAATGTTATACAATGTTCAAGTTGTAAAATGTTTAAGCATTTCTGTGTACCTAAAAATTGACTTTAAAAAACATATGTGTAGTTGTCAAGTTGACAAGGGGTGGATTGTGTTAGTTGATACACTGTGTCAACTTGGTTGAATGAGCTCTGGCAGTTCTCAGGGTGGGGGCCTAGCCCTGCCACCCTGCCCCACTTCCATGGAGAAGTCTGAGTCTTCGGAGGAGCTTGATCTTCGCAGCAGCACCACTTTGGAGGAGCTCTGATCTTCACTGTGGAGCGCTGGTCTTTGCAGCGTAGAAGGAGCAGAGAGGCTTGATGGACGCCACAGCTGCTGCTCCTCCTCTGCTCTTCATTGTTTTCTGCTGCATGAACTGCAGTCATTTGCCTTGCAGCCAGCAGAATATGGACTGAACCCTCCAGTAACTGTGAGCTAAATAAACCTTTCTTTTCTTCACTTTGAGTGTTGGGTATTTGTCCCAGCAACAAGTAAAAAGTAACTAAGACAGACAGCATGGTGCCTATGGGCCTGTCTTGTCGGAGAACATCGTAGCGGTGGTGTGTACAAGCTGTGAGTGCAGACAGGAATACCTCCCATCTTAGTTATTCTTCTTGCTGAGACACAATACCTGAGACCCAAAGTCATATGAGGAAAGGTTTTTTTTATCTCACAGCTCATAGAGGTTTCAGTGCATATTTGGCTGGTTCCAAGGCAAAGTCATACATGGCAGAAGAGTAGCACAGAGGAGAAACAGTTCATGGCAAAGCAGGGCAGAAAGAAGGCAGCAAGCAGCAAGTGAAGACCCTTGTTCTGTTCCTTATATTTTATCCAGGCTACAAGTCCTTAGAGTGGGTAGCACTGACACTCAGGATGGGGCAACCTTAATCCTACCCTTCTGGGTAGGGTTACCCTTATGCCAGCCCGATCAGTACACTAATAATCACACACCCGAGGTTCTAGCATCACACACTCTAGATCCAGCCTCCTCTTAAAAGCCCTACCTGTGGTTGTATGAGGCTGGGGGACACCTAGACACAAGCCAGGTAGCTGTTGTAAGCCTACTTTGCAAACCATAACATCTGTCCCTCTAGTGAACCTTAACTGGCACATCACCTTGCGCCACGGCACAGGTCTTCTCTTTGCCCAAGTTAGCAGTTTAATGAGTGAGTGAATAGCCAGTCTCATCTCAGCAGAGAAGAGGACAGGTTTCTTCTCCCATTTCCATCCCAATCTCACATCCTCCTAGGAGGAGGGACCCTTACTGGCTGTCCCCACCTAGTGGTCTGATTCCTCTCACCAGGCAATAGGTATCAGGTCCCTGCATAGCTTTCTCTCTGACCCGCAGCCTGCAGGCAGCAATCTATCTCCCTGTCCCATAAGGAGCACCACACCATCATTATCCATTGTTATCCACTGCCTTCTTTAGCATGGGCAAGTCTTGCTTATTTGAAATCACTGTGCAGAATTGGGGCAGAGTGCCTCCTACGAAGTCCCACAAGTGTCTTATTCTTGCTAGGAAGAAAGTGGTGACATGGCTGCGGGGACACCACTTGGAAGTGGACAGAGCCTCTTGCTCTCTGAGAAAGAACTGGTTTCAAGACTTTGTAAGGCTTCTCTGTGACCCATTACCGAGTGCATTGTCAGGAAGGAGATGGCAGATTGAGCTTGACTTCTGAGCCTCAGTCCAGGGCGCAGAGCCCCTCCCCACCCGGTGTCCAACTGTCACTCCTCTAACTGTCACTGGAACTCTGCTTCTCACCTCCACTACCAGGGCTTTGGATGGCTGCTGCCTTGGCACAGCTCTGTTAAGGTGAAAGTTTTATCTTGTGGTTTAGGCACTAGGACTACGTAGTTTCATGCAGAAAAATCAGCTGCCTCTCTTGCTTATTTGTGTTTTTCAGTGCTGTGAAAAATCTCACTGCCTCTCCCTCTCCTGACTTGCAGGGCATGGAGGAGGAAACCCCGTGTGGTATCTGAGGCTCTTTTGGTGCTGCTCAGCTTTGTATGAGTGCTGCTTTCTCAGAGGAGCCAGACGTCATAAAAAAGAAGTATTTCTTTTCTCTCCAAAATGTAAATATATTATGATAATTTTACTAAATTTGCATTGTAAAAATCCACACACAGCACAATGTAACCCTCAGCTCTGCTGTATCACAATTTGAACAATTTGTAGCATATCTTTGCAGTCCCAGAAAGTGAATGTGTGTGGGTGTATGAAATATGAACCTTACCTTGGTGAATAATTTCTGTATTCAAACTTTGTAAATTCAGAGATCACAGTGAACTTTCCACAGTGATCTATATTTACACATGTATCTCTATATATGCTTTTCTCTAGGCCAAAAGTCAATTTATTCCTCTACTGACAGGTATTATCTATAAATAATGAATGATGTAATGAACTTCCTTCTCTATGCATCTTTGCTTATCTGTGTATGTTTATGAAATAAATTTCTAAAAACATAAATATTGGTTCTAAAGAGGTGCATTCTGCAGATGTTACTACATTGTCTGAACTTACACAGCTATAAAGCATCCCAGGGTTGACTTATCTCTGGGCTCAGGAGGTTCAGTGTCTGGGGTCCAAATTGTTTTGTGGTCCATAAAAATAATTTTGTTTTGTTTAAAATCCAGAGATAAAAAATTAATATAATAATATCTAGTTGGGGGAGGTGGCACATGCCTGTAATCCCAGCACTCATGAGGCTGAGGCAGGAGGATCATTGCGAGTTTGAGACTAGCCTGGGCTACAAAGTGAGCTCAAGGCCTACTTGGACTGCATAGTGAGACTGTGTCTCAAAATGACAAAAAAAAGAAAAAATAATAAAGGAAAAAAAGAATATCTAATGTACAATGAATTCAGGCTAAAATATTCATATATATAGCAGTACAATCATAAAAGATCATTTCAAAAATATTCAATTTTAATAATTTGATTATATTGAATTGTTACAATTATTGTATTACAGTGAACTTAATTTTTTCTGGAGAAGAGAGCCTATGAGGGCACATGCATGTGGGCCTGCGCAAGTCACACTGTAGTTTTGGATATTCTATTTCTTTATATTCTTCTGATTCTTAAAATTAGCTTTATAATCTTTGCTAGTATTTACTGTTTTGTTTTTTTGAGGAACCTAGGATTGAACTCAGGCCCTTGCGCTTGCCAGGGAAGCACTTATTTCACTGAGCCATCTCCCTAGCTCCCTTTGCTAGTATTTAAAAAATGACTTTTCACTATCTTTTTTACCAATAGTACTTTGGTTATCTGTGAGGCATCATCTCCCAAGATTTAAATTTTCTTTGTCAAATTCCTATGTATATTCTTATCTTTTTACTGGGTTGTCCATGTTTGCCCCTTAAACTCTTTTTTATAGTTCAGTAAACATTACAAATGTTTCTATCATTTTGCATTACGGATTTATTTGTATTTTTTGTGTTGGCCTCTAAAGTGTTGCCCTACCCGGAATCTGCCAAGCCTTGCTTTTAGGACATCATACTTTCAAGGGATTAAGTATTTCTTTTAGAGTATCTATGGTTATTATTATATATGAGAATTAAAAATTCTCATTTATGTATCAGTTTGTTTCTTGAGTCTCTTCTATTCTATTGATTCACTTACTTACTTCTATGTTGGACCATTCAAGTAAGTTCAAGTATTTACCTTTATGATATTTTGATTTCTGATAATCACTACGCTTTCTCCCACAATCTTTCTTTTTCAATTTTTTTCCTCTACTTAATTTTTTTTTTTAATTTTTTCTGGTAAACTTCAGAATTACAGTTTCAAGAACTGAAAAAGAGCCTCAGAAATCTTGTAAAATATAGAGATTACTATGGAGGAGAGGAGAAAAATTCACTAAGCTGCATCTGCTTCTCCAAGAGCCAGGTACTTTGCTCAGACCTCCCAGTTGTGCCATTCTCACTTGACCTGCAGCTGATGAGCCTTTGCCTTCTGCCTTGTGTTTTCTCATCCTCACCCTGCCTCTTTTTGGGCGGGAGGCTACAGCAAAGGGTTTGCCTCAGGCTCCATGTTCTGCACAGCAGATGAATGGGGGCATTTCTGTCGCTACTTTTGTCCTCTAGGAGAGGTTTTCTAACAATGCGTTCTGGCAACAAAGTACTGGGGCAGAGAGCTGTCCTCTCCTCGGCACTTCTCTGTCTCTTGGCTTCTACTCAGTTTTATTCTGGTCCATTCTGTACACTAGAGCTAAAGTGATCTTTGTAGTAAGATCTTCTTGGCCTCCTGCTTGAACACTTTCAGTGATTGGCCACTGGATTAATTTATCACCTTAAAAATTTATTATCTTACAACTCTACAGGTCGGAAGTCCAGAATTAGTTTCCCTGGGCTAAAATCAAGGTGTTTGCAGGGCTGTGTTCATTTCTGAAGGCTCTAGGGAGAAACTGATTTCTTGCCTTTCTACCCCCCTAGAAGCCACTTCTATCCTTTGGTCCACGGCCCGTCATCCATCTTCAAAGACAACTCCTTTATCCCTCTGACCTCCTTCTCTGGCTCAGTCTCTTCTGTCTCCCTCTTGTAAGTATGAGCATAAGAACCCTGTGGTTCAGTTGGACCCCAGATCATCCCCATCTCAAAGTCCTTAGTGGCATCTTCAATTTTTCTTTGAACATGCAAGATAAGGGCTGGGGAGATAGCTCAGGGGCATAAGCGCCTGCCTGGACATGCAAGATAATGTTCGCAGGTTCCAAGGACTAAGACACAACGTCCTTGAGGGACCATTGTTCTGTCTCTACACCCAGGGCTTTCAGGATGCAGTCCAGACTCCTTAAGGATGCTGGCCTCATGTGGTGAGCGCCTGGTGCCCTCTCTTTGACCTCACCCCCTTGAAGTCCCTACTCCTGTGCATGAACTCCTTTCAGTTTCTGAAACCTGTCCTGTCCGCAGCCTCCAGATCTGGTCCTGGCTGACTCCCCTATCTTGGAATACCTTCTGCCCCCTCTGCATCTGACCAACTCCTAACTCAACTTCCAGCTTTGGTTTAAATCTTGTCTTTTCTGGGAGCTCTTGGGAACTTCCTTTCTAGACTTTGGGAAGGGCTCTCTCATATCCTCCCATGATCCTGATCTGCTTACATTGCTTCTCAGATTACTACTCATCTGGTTGTCTTGCTCCGGAAGTGTAAACTCTTGGAGGGCAGAGACAGTGGTGGAATTTCCCCACTAGGGGCGTCTTAAATCCTTGCTGAATAAATTTATTAAAATATTCTATAATAGAATACAAATTATGTGACTCTTTGGCCTCATCTTTTATTTTTAAGGTTTTAAAAAATGTATTTAGTACAAGGTCTACAGGGTCTCAGTACATAGATCAGACTGGTAGTGATTCTCCTGTTTTCAGCCCCCCAAGCTCTGGGATTACAGGTGTGTGTCACCGCCCTGTCTCATTCACTGTCTCAGCGCACCCCGGGGGCGGGGCGGCATGGTATGCAGGGGATCGAACCCTGGCCGCTGTGTTCTGCCTAAGCAGGTGCTTCAGTCCGTTGAGCTATCTGGCTGGCCAGCCTCATCTTAAAAATATTCACTACTGGGGCCAGGGAGATGGCTCAGTAGAATAAGCGCTTCCCTGGCAAGCTCAAGGACCTGAGTTCAATCCCTGGTTCCGCAAAAATAAAATAAAATAAAATTTAAAAAAGTATAAATAAATAAATAAATATATATATATATATATTTCTCATTTTAGAGTTATTAATCACTAATTTGGTAAACACTAAACCAAGGCAGTTAAAATTGAGAAACTATTGCCTGAATGTTGTAATTGTGCTACAGTTGTATAGTTATGATCACAGGGACATAAAAAGCAGTGTTTTCCCCTCCAGGGAGATGGACTTGGAGGTCATTGTGCCAAAAGACCTCAGTTCTGGAGATCATCAGCCCCTGGTTCAGAAAGCAGTTGATAAAGCTGCAGTCGCATCCGGTCAGCCCACCACATCTTCAGCTGCGGGGAAGTCGAAGGAAACTAGAGGAAATCCAAACCCAAAGGCAGACAAGAGGTCAAATGTCTATGTGATACAAATTTCAGACGACACAACTCCAAACGAGAGCAACGACGGTACAACCGGTCCATTCTCAGACAGATCCGTCCGCCAAGGTGAGAAGAAACTACCTGAGAATAGTTCCACGTACTGTAATATTAACATTCTGGGAGGTGGAAGCTGGAGGATCATAAGTTCAAACCCAGCTTGGACAACTTAATGACCTAGTGACATGCTGGTTTAAACTTTAAAAAGGAGAGGGGAAAGTAAGCAAAAAAGGGAGCCTAGTCCGTGCGCACTGTTTCACACACTCGGAACTCTTCGGTTTAGCTTTTCAGGTTAGCTATTTTCAGCGTCGGGCATTAAAAGGAAGGAAGTTGCTGGGGGCAGGAAGACTGAAGTCAGATGAGGCTGCAAATCGGTGCAAACATCTGTGCGCGTGGGTAGCCCGCGTCCTGCGATGGCCCTGCCACATCAGAGGCTCTCAGACCTTCTTTGGCTCTTGGGAGTGCACACCATAAGGAATTAAATAAATCAATTTGGCTTTAAAATTTTGGGGCTTCCATAGATAAAATCTAAGGTTTTCAGAAGGACATCTTTAACAGTTGAATTGATTTTTTTTTTTTTGGTGGCTCAGGCTGCCTGAAGGGCAGGGCTAGCTGGGATCCAATCTCTGTATCCTGCACCTGACTGCCTTTGCATAAGCAGGCACTTAAACAACTGAGCTAAGGGCAGGCCCCGAATTGAATATTCTTTTGTTCGCTTGCTTGTTCTTGAGACAGGGCCCCCCCGTGGCCCACACTAGTCTCAAATGATTCTCCGGCCTTGGCCGCTCCACAGTTGCTCACCACTCTGAGTGGCTTTGGTGGGATAGTCTTCAGTTGTGCAGAGCTTCGTGTTTGCTGTTACTTCCTTTGCTAACTGTGACTAGCACACTCTTTCCAATCCTAAAAAAAGGGGAGGGAGGGAATATCTTTCATCAAATATCAAGAGTCGGTGATTACATTTGTAGTTTTACTTTTGACAATTGTGCCATTGAAATGGTGTTTCTGTTTCTTCAGCTTTCATTGCAAAAGTGTTTCTCATCCTGTCAACTCAGTTGTTTCTCACTGCCGTAATTATTGGCGCATTTGTTTTCTGGTAAGTCTTTATTCCTGAGGTAGAATTAAATGTTAAGTTAGTTACATTAGTTCTCATGAATCAGCTTGTTTTAATATTCATTATTTTAAAATTATCTTTTTTCCCGCTTAGTCATTTTAGAAGATAATATTTCTACAAGTTTATTTTCTGAATCAACTCCAACCCCTAGGTAGGGGGTAAATTTCTAGAATTTTCTTTAACTTCTTAAGCCAGTCACTTTTTTTTTTTACTTCTAATTTTGAGGGCTATTTTCTTTGAGCTATTTTCACAGATAAAACTGGATAAAAGCAAGGGTATGGAGACATTGGAGGCTGAAACTCAGAATTTATTCAAGGGATTGTGATCCATTGCTGGTTAAATGTACCCTATGAAAAATCTGTATTTCTGAAGCAAATATATGAGTTGATTTCTTTTTCTTTTGTACAAATATCAATCATGATTTTTTTTAAAATGAAGGACTTCACTAGGTGTTTGCATGTATTTAAGTTTGAATTGAAACTTATGAAAATATCTCTTTGTGTTTGTCTTTTTCTTCTGGGAGCTGGGGATTTAAAGCCAGGACCTCAAGATGCTGGACAACAGTTCTACCACTAAGCTACATCCCCAGCCTGGCCCATTTGTCTTTCAAGCAAAAGAATGTTTTACTGTTTCATCTCCTCTTGTCATTATTATTTTTTTATTTTAATTGTTTTATTATTGGTCATTATTAATCATTTAGTTTTCCCCATTCTCCTTATGATGTTTTCTTTGTTCTACTCAAATATTACATTAGCTAAGAAAATATCCTATATTGTTGTTTAAAACTACATTAATTTTTTTTTCAACCAGGAAAGATTTAAGAGTGTGGGTAGTTGCACATCCCTGGTTCATCCATGCCCTCTTGTAAGTATCACTGACTTTAATAAAACATGGCTTTTCTAATAGCTAGCCACTCATGATTTTATTACCATTTAAATATATAAATTTTTTTTCGGTGTTTTTGAGACCTAAACTCTGTGAAGTTAAGGCTGGTCTTGAGCCCACTTTGTAGCCCAGGCTGGTCTTGAACTTGCAACCATCCTCCTGCCTCAGTCTCCTGGGTGCTGGGATTACAGGCATGTTCCACCACACCTGGCTAAGTATAATATCCTTAAAATAACAAAATTAAAGAGATGGAAAGTGAAGAAATTAATGCTTTCCCAGAGTTAGAGATGAGCATGAAGGGATGCTATCACGAAGGGGAAGGATTGAAGAGGTCTTCATTGACATTCATTCACCCGTGTGATGGGTGGGCTAGTTCTCAATTCTAATTGTGGTTGTGGTTATATGAATCTAAGAAAGATTTTTTTTTGGGGGGGGGGCTGGCTTGTGCTATCTTAATGGAGGGTCTGGTAAGGCATGTGAAACTGGGGATCGAACTGCGGTCCTCCATGCCTGACTGGGTTTGCCCAAGCAGGTGCTTAAACAACTAAGCTAACTGGCAAGCACTCGGTTATATGAATCTGAACATAGATTTCTATCACACTTTTAAGAACTATCTGTACACATTATACCAGTATCAAAGTGTGGGTTTTGACATTGTACTATAAATATATAAATTGCAACTGATGAGTGTTAGCAGTGTGGAGAGCAATGGAGACTTTCAGATATTCTACAATGATAAATATCTGTGTGTCTGTGTATATATGTATATATATGCATATGTGCATATTATGCATATATATGTGTATATCACATATACACACATAGATAGCATATATGATGATGTATGTGTGTGTGTATATATATATATATGCATATAATGTTATGTAACAACTGGAAGCAAGTAACAGATACTTTTATATATCCTGCAGTCCAGCATTTTTTGCTATACTTATTATACTTGCTTGCTGTGGGGATATCCGCCGACAGGTGCCAGCAAATTACATTCTCCTGGGATTGTTTGTAAGTAAACCTTGTTAGCATTAATAGAAACAGCATATCCTGTCCTGAGAAAAATATTAAGACACTGTGTGAGTGGCCCCATTTGATTCATGATGATGTAATCCACAAAGAAACCCTTCCCACTTTCACATTCAATTCCCCAAAGATGTTACATTTCCTGTTGTGTTCCAATAAAGTTTTCCTAATAAAATAATTTGTCAGCCCTAGGGAGATTGTTATGGACATGATCTGTTGTTCCCAGACCCCCAGAGGCTGTGTGCACTGGGGCTGGATGCAGCCTCAGGTGCTCCCTAGACCTGCCCCAAAGTCACACACCTTACATGGCCTCCTTTGGATTCAGGGTCTCAGCCTCAGGCCTTGAGAAGCAGGCGTCTGACCTATTGTGAATTTTGTTTTTAGACAATTTTTGAAGGTCTGCTGCTGGGAGCTGTGTCAGCGTAAGTCTTTGACATACATTTTGTTTTTGGTGTGTATGTGTACTTTTCTTTGAATGTATATGAACAATAATTGCAATCTCTGGTTTTAGTTTCTATAGCGCCGAGGAAGTGTTGTGGGCAACGGCAGCTACCTCTCTGGTCACAGTAGCGCTCACTATATTTGCTCTACAAACAAAAGTATGTATTACTGAAGCAGATTTCTGTCAGAGAGGGTGTGTCACCTATGTTCCTCCTGACCCATTCACACCTGCCCGTGCTCTGCTGCCCTGCAGGCCTCTGTACTGCACCCCTTTGCATTTGGCTTTTTGTGGGCTTGGCTCTGTGTCTGTCTGATGTCCCGTGGAGAGGGGAAGGTGGGAGGGAGGCGAAAGAGGCCCGTTCCCATGGTTTCCTCCACACAGGCTCCTCTGGCTAGCTGTGCTCCTTAGAAAAATTCACTGCCTGTCTCAACTAGGCTCCCTAGATCTGGTCCAAAGCTGACTCAGCCTTCAGGGCTCCCTGCCCTCCTCCCTTTGGGTCTACAGGTGGAGAAACCCTTCTGCTGCCAGCCTGGACTCACTCGCGCAGCCCCCAGGAGATGCTTATAGGTGGTACACGCACAGACACACACTGCCCAAGCCACCCTTTGCAAATGTGCCATCTGTCCTTTGCTGAGCCCCTGCCTAACGCACGGGTTTCCAGTTTACCCAGCGGCAAGATGCTGTGATTCCCAGAGTTCCTTAGAGCTGGGGCATCAGCGTCTCTCCAGCCCTCCAGTGAGCACTGAGATGTGGCTAGAACATCTCAGCAGCCCTTTCTCTTTGTTCTTGCCACTTTCTTTTGGTAAATGATGGCCTGGTCAACAGAAGAGTATAGGTCCCCAGTGGTTTGGTCCATGTCTCAGGGAAGGTCTGACATAAATGTGGAATTGTATCCTTTCCTGATTGAAAAGGGAAGAACTGACAGAGAAGCAGAAGGGTTGGTTAAGTGGTCAGATGTTACCAATTTTATCAGAAGTTGGGGATCCAACTTTAGTTCATCGCTGGATGGCTATTTTGTCTCAAAGCTAGTCCTTTGTGAAACCCACCTATTTGTAGAGATTTGCCTCTCTGCAGCGGGTGAGGAAGGCCACAGCTGAATGCAGAAATTCATTCCACCATTTAAAATCCTCTGAAATGCCAGAATACCTTGTGAAAAACTTATTTGCAGGGATGGCTTTAAAAGGTGCAGAACTCTTCAACTGAGCATTTTTTTTCTGATTAAGTTGTGCAATGGAGAGAATGCAAAGTTCACTCACCACAGCTGACAGGCTGCTGCGGACGGGAAGCCACACACCTGCACACTTGCCAGGGGAGAAACGGTGTGAATTTCGCTTTAATTTAACCTGATCCCATCCTTGGAAATGGCTGCTTTGGGCTGGGTAATACGGTCACGTGACTGCGCTTGCCGGCAGCTGCTTGTGCCACTGAGCTATATTCCCGGCCCTCAGCTGGTCAGTTACTGAATCACTTTGTAGTAACAGTTATAAATGTGGGTGAGGAATAGGGGCTCAAAAATAAAATGAATTTAAAATTAAGACGATGAAATTAATTTTAATAACATACTTTAACAATGCATTTTTTTTTTTTTTTTACCATTTTCTTTCTTTTTTAAAATGTATTTACTATGGGGTCTACAGGGTCTCACTACACAGATCAGATGCATAGTGATCTTCCTGTTTTCAGCCTCCCAAGTGCTGGGACTACAGGCATGTGCCACCATGCCCAGCAAGGTGTTTTATACTTACAGTAAATCTCAATCTAGAATCTGGTCACATTTTAAGTGCTGGAAGCCCAGCTCTTAACAGTCTGGTACATCAGAATCCCTAGAGAGCTTGGACCCCATCCAGAGTTGCCACAGGCCTGCTCACTGCCTTTCCCAGGGGTGCTGATAGGTGCTGCAAGTCGGAGACCTACTGCATGGATGACTCTCCTTGAGTGTTAAGGGGAGAAAAAGGGGTAATACAAGAGAATGTCTTGGCTGTCTTGTATACAACAGCCTGTATTTTGCTATATAATCAAAATTTTTTAAGTCCAAAAGATAAATTATCCCTTTTCTTTTTTTTTTTGCAGAACCAGGGATTGAACTCAGGCCCTTAAGCTTGCCAGGCAAGCAGTTATTCTACTGAGCCATCTCCCCAGCCCCAAATTATCCCTTTTCTTAAAAAAAAAAAAAAAAAGGAGTTTTTTTTTTTTTTTTTTTTTTAATTTTTTTTTTTTTTTTTTTTTTTCTTAAAAAAAAAAAAAAAAAAGAGCTCTTAGCTTCTCCAAGCTGAGGGACGGATTGATTGATACCAGCCCCTCATGCTTCCTGGGCAGGCGCTGTGCTGCTGAGCTATATCCCCGCCCCTCCCAAGCTGACTGAGGTCACACATCTATATAAGCAAAACCAAACATCACATGAATACATTTTGACATTGCAAAAGAATCATTAACAGTATTTTTGAAAGCTTAGTATGTGTTTTATTAAAATGTATACATATTTATGTATATAAAGGTACTCACCTAACACTTTGTTATGTTTCTTTTCAGTAATGTTTTCTATGTATATGTTCTTAAAATTATGAATCATTATGTTCATACAAATTTTCATCTTAATGTATCTTTAAAAAATTATATTTATTTATGTATTTATTTAGTGCAGGGTCTCACTATGCAACTCAGACTCATAGTGATCCTCCTATTTCAACTTCTCCAGCACTGGGATTGCAGGCAGGCACCACCATGGCCAATTCCAGAGCAAACATGGCATTTGGTACTGGGGATCGAACTCAGGACCTTGTGCTTGCCAGGCAGGCTTTTAGACTACTGAGCTATCTCCCTAACCATTAATGTATCTTTTTTTTTTTAATTTTATTTGTGTGTGTGTGTGTGTGTGTGTGGCCAGCTCAGCCCACCAGGGGGCGGGGCCGGCTGGCATGTGGTGCTGGGGGATTGAACCGCGGTCCCTGTGCTTTGCTAAGCGTGTTCTAGGTAGGTGCTTTAGACCACTGAGCCATCTCACCAGCCCCATTAATGTATCTTTGTATTGGACGATATTTCATATGACTACAAAACATAAAATAGTATAATAATTCCTCATGTACCAAAAATTACCATTTCAAAAATTATCAACTCATGTCCCCCATTTTTTTCTTCTTCTTGCAGCAAATTCCCAGCAATACAACGCGTTTTATGTAGCATTTTTCAGTGGTTGGGGTAATGAATTTCTGCAGTTCTCTGACTTGGCTGGGGGAAATTGCTAGCAGTGGGCCAATCTCTGTTTCTGGGGCATAACCCTCATTTCTAGACATCCTGAAAGTCCTGCTGGATGTTAACGGAGTTGCCGCATGCTGTTTGTGTTTCCTCAGTGGGATTTCACCTGGTTGAATGGAGTGCTGTTTGTTTTCCTCTGTGTGCTCCTCATCTACGGAATTTTGGTGCTCTTCATACAAGCTTATGTAAGTGGGCTTTCATGTGCGACCTTCTGAGAATTTCTAAAGGTGTGGGGAAAGTGCTGGCTGTGTTAATCTGGGTCCTCTGAGAAGCAGATGTGGAATTGAGACTAAGCATGCCAGCTATTTAAAAGGAAAGGGGCAGCGAGCTGATGCAGGTTTACCAGAGCTGTCAGACCAGGATGGCATTCCTGACCTCAAGTGAAGGAAGGTCAGGCAGAGAGCATGCAGGACATGATGTGGCTCCAGGGAGGTCACTTGCTTCCCAGGAAGGGCCCTGCTGCTCCAGGCCAATGACAAACAAGTGCTGAAGACCAGTGGCAGTGAGTTGCTCAACCCAGCAACTGGGGCTCGGGGTCATTAACTCCCTTCCTGGGAGCTGAAGACCCATGCGGTCCATCCTACAGGTGTCAGTGGAAGATGCCACCCACAGGGCAATCCATTGCATGAATACTGATCTCTGACTCTAGACTACACTCTCCTTTCCCAACGGGTCTTTGAGGGTGGGCCTGGCTCCTCATGTGTGTGGGAGCTACTTGTTGCAAGGAATAGACCTTTTCCAATAGCAGCCTAAAGGTTCCTTGTCCAATCCCAGTTTTTTGGCTTTGTTTTTGAGACAGGGTCTTGCTAGGTAATGTAGGCCAGTCTTGAACTCACTATGTAGCCTGGGCTGGCCTCAAGCTTGTGCTGATCCTTCTGCCTTAACTTTCTGAGTGCTGGGTAATGGACATGTGCCAATAATTCCAGTTGTTTTTTTTTTTTTTTTTTTTTAATTCTCAAATATATCCACTGAGTTCTTATTCAGTATCAGACACAGGCCTATGTGCTTTTCACACTGGTAGCACGAAGAACTCTCGCAGCATTCTTGAAAAGTACATATCTCATCTATTTTATAGAAATTGAAAGAGGTTTGGAGAAATTAAATCATTCAAAGAGTTCCCCCAGGATTAGGGGTTGGTGGGGCATGGAGACACCAGCACCCAAGATTTTTGGCCATGCTGCACTGTCCATGGGGTGACTCTGACTGGGGCAGGAGTGGGGACAGGAGTTTTGACCTGTCCCTGTGGTTCTTGTCTGTGAATGGTCCCTGTGTGGAGACTTTGTTGGAGGCCTCCACTGTGACCCAAGGTCTGTTGGGTCCAAATGCTAAGCCAGAGAATTTCTTTGGCAACAAGTGGACTTGTTACAATATCTTCTAACGTTTAACTGAGGGTTCTGCCCAGGTTGGCTTGGCTTTACAAATGACCACATATTTACAAGGACGGAGATGGCATCTGTATTTTGGGGACAAGTGCAAAAGTATCACAAATATATCTTGAAAGGCCACAGCTCTCTATTACTGGTAGAAGCAGAGATAGGTAATAATGCTACAAAAAATTATTAGGTGAATTCCAGAGGTCTTTATAGTATCGCTTATATGTGGCTAAGAAACTATCTCACATTAGCATCATGTAGAACTCTCACAACATTCCTGAAAAGTACATATTTCATCTATTTTATAGATAATGAAAGAGGCTCAGAGAAATTAAGTAATTTCTGTAAATTTACTTGATCCTTAGTCTAAATTTCCTTTTAGAAATATCTACAATCTATAATATTATGCACTTGTTTAAGTGGGAGGAGACTTTGGTGGCCTTTTGTCCAAAGTTATGGTGTGGTTGACTTGAGCGATTTTGAATCAATCTCAGGTTCCAGCTGTCAGGTGTTTCCTAACTGAGCTCAGCCTGGATCTACTGTCTAGCCCATGGCCCCAGCCCCTAGTTACGGATTCATAATCTTTCCTCCTCATCAAGAACCTTTTTCTGGATAGCAGAGTGCTCTGCCCAAGCTTGTCAGGAGCAGCTGCTTCTCCCTGAAGAATTTGTGCCATATTCTTCCTTACCCTCTCCACATGAGCCAAAACCATGGGCATTGGGCTTCTCTGGTCAACTTTCCTTGGGCAGTAAGAGCTCTGGCACTAGTCATTGACAACAGCTTCTGGTCCTTGGGTCTCTTAATCCTGAAAACTTATTTCTCACTTCCTGGCCCACCTTTTTTTTTTTTTTTTTTTTTTTTTTTTTTTTTGGCTGTACCAGGGATTGAACTTAAGACCTTGCACTTGCTAGGCAAGTGCTTATGCCATTGAGCTATTTCCCTGGCCCCCATGGCCCACCTTTTGAAACTGTGATGGAGCTTAAGTTTCTGATCAGTCAGATTTCACTATTTTCTGATTGGATGTCCACCTCCCATTGTACCCTCCAGCGAGGGTATGCAAGTCTGTATACTCCCAGCAATGCCTATTCCTTGCCTGAGGGAGGCAGATTCTCCAGAAGGGCTCTACAGTTGGGGCAAAAAGACGCAGCCATCTGATACATTCTCCTGGCCCTACCTTGAGAGACATTAAGCATTTCCTTCACTTCATGAATATTTATGAATACAATTTGGTGTGAAGATACTAGCTTTCCTTTGGTTGCCTATTGGACCTGAGTGTTTCAGGAAAGATTTATTTCACCTGAGATTTGACTTTCTTAATATTGGGTACCTCTCTGTCCCCAGTGAGCTGTGTAAGTTCTTACGTTACTCTGGATTGGATTTCCTTCTTAAGCTACCACTGTTTTCTCTCTGCAGTGGCTGCACCTGTTGTATGCTGGCATCGGAACCCTGCTGTTCTCCATGGTAAGTGCATTTCTCCCTCTCTGTCCCCTGCAGTCAGCAATTCACAAGAAACCCTCCAGCAACGAACTGCCTCCTAAAGCCATCACCCCCAAGAAAGCTGCATGATCTTCCCAGCCTGTGGAACCTTGCTTTTCTTGAAAGAGTCAATATTTAAGAGAACACAAGATAGTCACAGACCACAGAGCTTACTACAGCAGGCTGTAGTAAGTTTCACTTTTCCATCTGGACTGATGTCTCATTTTTGTTCTTCCACAACAGGAACTTCTAGGGAAATGACAGAGGTCACCACTGATGCTCCTAGGAATCTCTCTGTCATCTTTCCTTCTCATATCTTGCTCCCGTATCTTCATAATTATTTTAAGAAATATTTTATTTAAAGTAATACTGTGTATCTGAAAATCCAGCAGACATGGAGGAGTATAAGATGACCACAAAAATCTCCCTCCTGTGGCCCTCCTCAGCAGGAACCACTGGTGGCAGTGTTGGGACTCCTTGTAGGGTTTCCTTATGCACGTGCACCCGATCCTCCAGCACTAGTGGATTCTCACTAATGCAATGTTCCATCTTGGCCTTTTTTCTTAAGAAGTTGCGGTCTCCATTTATTAGCAGACCTAGGGCTAAGGCGCTCTATTTGAGGGCTGTAGTATTCCATTTTATACATTCATCAGGCTACCTCTCTTAGGGTTCATTTATTTATTTATTCATTTCTCAGTGTTTGGGGCTGAACCCAGGATCTTGTGTGCCAAGCATTGAGCTACACTCCTGCCTCCTGTGGTTTTTAAAGAAAAAAAATGAGTTTGAAGATTTCCCAACATGCATAACATAGAGTGGTCTAGAAGTCCCATACCTGGTCAGCAAGCATTGAAAGCTATCTATGTTTTGCTCCCTTTCATTCCTTTGTGTTGTTGGAATTGTGTTAGGTCTTTTAAAAAGGTGACAGATTTATATGATCTGAAGAGAATTCACAGTATGTGTGCTTATGTCTTTTAGATGTTGGAAAAAATTATACCAAGAGATTAACATTTCACTGTTCTCGCTTCACCTATTTTAAGAGGGCCTGGTTTGTGCCCCTCGCGCCCCACTCCTGTGCACTCAGCCTTCATGCGTTGACACTGCAGCCGTGTCGCCTCTGGCCTGCTTTCTGCGCAGTCTGTCTCCGTGCTGTATGTTGGTGTTCTGCTCCCCGTTTGCAGCCAGAGCAAAACCTCTTCTGCAGGCCCAGGCAGATCGCCCGACATCAAGCACCGGGAGGAGGAAACAGGGCGTGCAGTGCATTTTCACTGCCAGAGTTGTGCGGGGGTGAGGCCGAGGGTGGCACATTCCTAGGGCTCCTGGGGGTCCTGGCTAGCCTCCTGTGGGTTGGCTGACTTGGCTACCGGACACATCTGCTCCTATGCATGTGAACCACTCCTGAGAAGCCACGCTCCCAGCTGCCCAGGCCACGTCTAGGAAATGACTGGGAAGAGAAAAGCTCTTCTTCACAGAAGTTAGGACTCTAGGGTGTTAGGAGGAGGATGTTAGAGCAAAGGACCGCTCAGTACCCCTGGGAGCCTTTTGGGGGATCAAATAGAGATTTTCAAGGACCCCCAAATCACAGTGGTTGTTCACTGAAGCTGCTGATCTTCCAAAGGGGCTGGAATGAGACCTAGGGAGAAAGGCGGGGAAGGAACTTAGCAGTTCAGACGAGGTCTCCCTCCACACACACACACCCCGCCCCAGCGGCTCCAGGCTCATCTGACATCTTTCTCTACTGTTGCCCCTTCCTTTTCCGAGGCTCTATTTAATCTCGTCTGCCCCCCTGGGGTTATTCCCACATTACACGAGAGGCCATTTGGCATGACCTCAGGATATGTTCAGTCACTTTTATCCTGTTCCTTGCCTCCCATCTCCCTCATCCCTATAAGCCCTCATAGGGACAAGGACTCAGGAATACCTGAATCCCTTGGGATGTTTCTAAAGTGGATTTCAGAAAATGTGTAAACCCCAAGCATTCTCTGCAGTGCCAGGGCTGGTTTGTGCGCCGGGCTCCGCCTCACAACTCTGGAGTCATAGCTAAGCTGCAGGTCCCAGCAACTGTGCTGGTTGTGTCTCTCCTCCTCATCCTCAGGCTGCCCAGGTCTGCTATTTTGCAACAAGTGCAAGGATGAGAGAGGAGTGTCTTTTTTTAATCTTGTTGTTTTAGGGCTGTGCAGTTTCACCTGCTTCAGCTGAGCTAAAGCTGTTTCTTTTGGGGTTACTGAACCACATAGGAGGCCCTTTTCATTCTATATTGAACTTACAGGACCCATAACAAAGCTGTCCCAAATGACCACGTTTGCTATCAAAGAATTCAGAATTATTAATCCATGTGAATCTAAGTGGCCAGAACCATATTTATTTTGACCATTGTTTAACAAGAACATGGACCAAAATTACAAACAGGCATTTACTTTATTTTATTTAATTTATTTTTACAAACAGGAATTTTATAATTTGTCCATTTGGTGCACTCCATTGACTAAAGATACAAAAGATGCTTTGAATTTGGAAAGGAAAAGGACGCTCAGGCTTTGTCCCACAGGCTTTAGGAGGACGAGAAATTTGCTTTGAAAGAGTACAAACCTGAGGACTTCATGAAGTTGAAGTTATAAGCACATTTAGCCAGAAGCTACTTTCCATATTTTTCTTGACTCTAAAACAATTTTCCAGATCATTCGGGACACTTACTTGATTTTCTTTTTCTTCAAGTACCTGGTGATGGACGTGCAGCTCTTGGTCGGGGTGCGCCACTATGAGCTGGACCCGGAGGAGTATGTTTTTGCTGCCCTGGAGATCTACTTGGACATCATCAACCTTTTCCTTTTTATCCTGCAACTGATTCAACTGGGACGGTAGTTGTATGGCCGGTGTTGGCTTAGCTCGGAAACAAGAAAGGGCCCTTGGGAACTGTTATCTGGCTCAGACGGGGACTTCAGAAGCCCTTTGTTTTAGGAAAAAATTAAGAACCCTTTTTCTTTCTTTACAAAAGAGACTAAGCATTCAGTAGATGATAGCTATTATTGTTATGCTTTGATTCCATTGTCATACATCAAAACTTGCTGAGACTATTTCTAATTTTTATAAAATCAAAAGATGACTACCGTAATTACATATTTACAAATATTTGCATGATGTCCATTGCTTCATTGACATTTTCCAGAGAGTTCTAAACACCTCTCTTCATGAATAAAACTGGATACAGAAATTTAAATTTACTTGTTTTTCTTCTTTCCTCTTGGCTTAGACATTCTGTGGGAATATTCTGGCATCTGATTTTTCAAAGAATAACATAAAACAATGAATTTTACCTTCCTCATGTGTTTCAGAGTCATACTGGAGAGAGTGTTATTACTACTACCAGGGAGAGCTGAGGGAGGATTAGCCACGTTAATCTACACAGAAAGCTCAGGGCAGAGACTGCTGCTCCTGTCCCATCAGAATTGTTCTTGTGGGCTTGGTTTCAGGACCATGTCCTCTGATTGTCTGGGACAACTGATGTCATACTTTTTTTTTTTTTTGGCAGAACCAGGGATTAAACTCACGCCCTTGAGCTTGCCAGGCAAGCGCTTATTCTACTGAACCATCTCCCCGGCCCCATGTCCTACATTTTAAATTTACATAAAATATAACCACCATAAAACCATTTTACGTGTACTGTTCAGGAATGTTAAATGTATTATGCAATCAATCTCTAGAACTTTCATCTTGCAAAAGTGCTGCTCTCTATATAAAACAAGAAGTCCCATAAAATTTGGAATTGAATTACATTTTTATAAAATCTTGTACCGCCAGTTTGATGATTTCTTGAGGAATATATATATATATATATATGAATTTCATGGATTCCTGGGATAAGATACTTGATAACAAAATTTTACTCAGAGGGGAGATAGCTCAGTGGAGTAAGCACCTGCTTGGCAAGCACAATGACCTGGGGTCAATCCCTGGAACTGCATGCTGCGCCAGTGCTGTGCTATGCCAGCCACTGAAACTGGGCATGGTCGCACACGCCTGTAATCCCAGCACTGTGGAGGCTGAGACAGGAGGATCACTATGAGTCTGAGCTGCACAGTGAGACCCTGTATCGAATAAATAAATAACTAAATAAATAAAAACAGAATTTTGCTCTGATGCAAAAGCTCACATGTTCAGTTCTATCCAAATGAACCCATGTCTACCTGCCTACCTTCTCTCTTTTCTTCTTCTTCTTCTTCTTCTTCTTCTTCTTCTTCTTCTTCTTCTTCTTCTTCTTCTTCTTCTTCTTCTTCTTCTTCTTCTTCT